TTCACAGCACAGCGCTCAATTACTTTGCTTCATAATAATTTTCTTTTTTTTTATATATTTTTTCTCATCCGCCTTATGCCTACTTCTATCGCGCACATTGCTGTCGCTGCTCGCTACATGGTGAGTTATGCAACACATTTTGCAACACAGCTTCACGACTCAATTTTCTATGCAACGTCTTCTTGGCTAGGGCGCTCGATTCCATCACAACGTAATCAAATATCTTCCAGCCTCCATTTAGTATCTGCAGCAATATGCGCGCCTGAGTGTGTTTGTACGTGCGCCTTCACTTTGCTTTTGTGTCGTTTGTGGCATGGAAAAGTTGCTTTTGCTTTACTTATGTACTTACTTACATACTTACTTAGTTTGACTTCCCCATTGCCGTTGCTGCTCAGCTCTTCCGCTATGAATGCATGCTAAAGTTTGAATTATTTATGTGCAAATATATCTGCTTGCCTTCCTGGCTGCCTGACTGCCTGCTGTATGCCACGACGGTAGCTATTGAAGACTTGGAATTATTTATTTATGCAACTTTAAGAAAGCAAATACAAGTGAGTTTGCGAAAAGTGTAAAAAAAAAATGTGTTCATAGATTTTGCTAAACTTATTGAATTGTACGGTAGAAAGTAGCAATCGGCATAGGCAAGTAGNTGCTAAAGTTTGAATTATTTATGTGCAAATATATCTGCTTGCCTTCCTGGCTGCCTGACTGCCTGCTGTATGCCACGACGGTAACTATTGAAGACTTGGAATTATTTATTTATGCAACTTTAAGAAAGCAAATGCAAGTGAGTTTGCGAAAAGTGTAAACAAAAAAATGTGTTCATAGATTTTGCCAAACTTATTGAATTGTACGGTAGAAAGTAGCAATCGGCATAGGCAAGTAGCTAGTGCAAAGTATTATGAAAAATTAGTGAAGAGGTAAATTGTTGGGAAGAGCAAGGTTGCATTTCTAAGTAGATACTCAAGCCTGAGCTGCCCATTGTGCTCAGGTCTCGCGGGAAGGGATATATGAGGGAGAGAACGGAGATAATATTTAATTAAATACTTCCCTTCCTTCATAGAAGAAATTTCACAACCCCCTTTCCAACTTTTGGTCGGAGTACTGTGATATGCCGGGTGTTCAGATTGCCGCAGTAGTCCCTCTAATTTTTGGGACCTTTACCAAATGTCCGTTTGAGCCGTCCGCCAGTTTTTCATACGAAGTGTAGACAGGCCCTTTCGCACTTGGCTATTCTGTTGTGTTCGTGAATATCTTTGCTTTGTTGTCCACCCATGCGTGCTGAGACATTGGATTACTGGTACCTGGTGCTTACGGCAGCGCAGCCATATACATACATAAATATACATCTTGCGTAGAATACTTCACTCGAAGACCCGAAAATCTTATTTTCTGTGTTCGTCACGTAGATCATTCGGCGTCGGCAGAAGGACGGAATTTTCTGAAAAGCAGAGAGTCTCCTGTCCCCCATAAAATTTAAGTTTTATTCAATTTATTGCGGCATCGAGCCTGAACTTCCTTACCTGGGCAATTTTTATGTCAGTACGAACATTTTTTGTTTTTGGAGGCGTCGGAAAAGAAGTGCTTTGTACAACTTTCCACAAAAAATACAGCGAGTACTATTACGATATTCTGCCAAAAACGTTCTTTCCATGAGCCCTATCGTCTTGCTATGATTCAAAAGGGATGCGGTCNTTGAGCTGCCCATTGTGCTCAGGTCTCGCGGGAAGGGATATATGTATGAAGGAGAGAACGGAGATAATATTTAATTAAATACTTCCCTTCCTTCATAGAAGAAATTTCACAACCCCCCTTTCCAACTTTTGGTCGGAGTACTGTGATATGCCGGGTGTTCAGATTGCCGCAGTAGTCCCTCTGATTTTTGGGACCTTTACCAAATGTCCGTTTGAGCCGTCCGCCAGTTTTTCATACGAAGTGTAGACAAGCCCTTTCGCACTTGGCTATTCTGTTGTGTTCGTGAATATCTTTGCTTTGTTGTCCACCCATGCGTGCTGAGTCATGGGATTTCTGGTACCTGGTGCTTACGGGAGCGCAGCCATATACATACATAAATGTACAATACTTCGCTCGAAGACCCGAAAATCTTATTTTCTGTGTTCGTCACGTAGATCATTCGGCGTCGGCAGAAGGACGGAATTTTCTGAAAATTTAAGTTGTATTCAATTTATTGCGGCATCGAGCCTGAACTTCCTTACCTGGGCAATTTTTATGTCAGTACGAACATTTTTTGTTATTGGAGGCGTCGGAAAAGAAGTGCTTTGTACAACTTTCGACAAAAAATACAGCGGGTACTATTACGATATTCTTCCAAAAACTTTCTTTCCATGAGCCCTATCGTCTTGCTATGATTCAAAAGGGATGCGGTCGAATCTCTTGACTTCGTCGCTTTCTCCTACATATATCTTTAAATCCAAAGATATGGGCTTAAAGTTCTAGAGTTTCCTTAAACATTTTATGACAATAAAGTGTAGGGACTATTTTCGCCCTATCTCCCTTCGAAGTCCAACTACGACTACCAACTTGCTCCTAAAATTCACATAGTATGGGCTTAGTCTAAGCCATTCAATCCATCATAAATGCTAATAACATTTTAAGCGCTTTCAAGTTTCTGGCTACTAAAATAGTATAATCACTTTTTTTGCATAACTTCCGCCTGCTTTGTGGTCTCCAAACTCTACTTCCTCGCAAAGGTAGCGCATGATGACCGCAATTAAAAGTCATAAGTCTCTATTTCATAGCGTGAATCGATGATAAATTCTATAGAAGTTAACGCACCGCGCCACAACCACTTTTGGAATTTACAGCGCGCGTGTGCAGCCACTAGTAGTATCAGCTACCCTCTGCACGCATTTATTGCTCCCCAATCACATTGCATCGTAGCGAAGCCCCAATTTATGCAGCGTCGCATGCAAGCCGCCAGGTGCTACTATGTTTTATTGCCACCTTCTCTTGCTGTCCTACTCCACACCTACATACATACTTCCACGCGTATGTATGTGGTTATATCATCTCAAGTACAAATCAACGGCTACTGGCNTTACATGCGTATGTATGTGGTTATATCATCTCAAGTACAAATCAACGGCTACTGGCTGATCAATTAAAAACTTACCGCTCGCATTGCAATTTAATAACTGTTGCGTTACTATCCATAATTCTCTTTGGCTGTCATGCGGCCGGCCCTTGAGGCGACTAATGCGCTAGCCGCAAAGTTGTAGTGGCGATGCCTCCTCTGCTTTTGTGGCTTATAGTTGCTTGGTTTTTATGACTTCTTACGGCAGCTCTCTATGCGCGTTAATTCACTGCTACTGGTTTATTTATTGCGCTTTCTACGTTGCTTTTCCACACTTTGTACAGCGCTATAAATACTAGCTTAATAGCCAACTGGATTTTGTAGATTTTTTTCTTTTCATTTCACTTATGTTTACGCCAGTAACTACTTCATTTCCACGCCTCTGTCACCTTTGCAGCTTTTGCAACCTGTTCCGCTATTCCTTTTTTCAATTGTAGCCGTTTTTCCNTCTTTTCATTTCACTTATCTTTACGCCAGTAACTACTTTATTTCCTCGCCTCTGTCACCTTTGCCACTTTTGCAACCTGTTCCGCTATTCCTTTTTTCAATTGTAGCCGTTTTTCCAATTTATTTCGCACGCAACTCGTCGCGGACCCTTTATTCGCCTAAGTCTGTTTGTAGATGTGTCTCTATTTTCAATCGGCTCGCATCGTTAATGAGCAAACGACGCGTGCGAACTATTAGCGCACATAAATTCGCACTTTCATGCGTTCGCCGGAAAGCGCTGCTCACACCTTTGCTTGCATTGTATGTGGCTGTGCGCGCGCTGTGTTTTATACTTGCAAGGGCGACTGCGATTAAACTAACGGACACAGCGTTGCTTGTCTTACTATTGCCCGTAAATACTTTATCGGCGTTGTTTTGCTGGCAAATCGGTCACAGCTGAGTCCACACACCGGCGTTAGGCGCACTGATCAGCGCATTGCCATTATTACCGTAGCGCATACAGTTCATTTCGTATAGCCCTTCTTTTTCTTCTTCTGCTTCTTCTTCGTCAACTGCCGTTTGAAGTCACGCCAACCTNCACCGCTGAGTCCACACACCGGCGATAGGCGCACTGATCAGCGCATTGCCATTATTACCGTAGCGCATACAGTTCATTTCGTATAGCCCTTCTTTCTCTTCTTCTGCTTCTTCTTCGTCAACTGCCGTTTGAAGTCACGCCAACCTTCGCGTCTCGCAGGTCTGCCTGTCTGCTTTCGCAAGCTGCTGCCATTCAACTACGACGCCACTCTGCTTTTGGCGTGTCCTTACTCGCCTGCCAGTCAGCTACTTTTGTTTCCCCAGCTGCCTTCCCACTTCCCACTTCGCTTCTTTCCTTCTCTCCTTTTCCCTCTTCGACTGCTGCTGCCTTAGCGGTTGATTTTTGACGTGCTTGGCTTTGACATTTGTGCTTCGTTGTCGGTCGAATGCGCGTCTCTGTTCTCTGGTTCTGTGTGGTGTGCTTTGTACGAACTCCGCAGCTGTTGTGCTGCGCGTTCAATGTCCCTCATGTTGTTACCGTTTAATTTCATTCGAATTGTTGTTATTGCACCCAACATTTATGGTATCTGCTGCAATTCGTATGCGCGCCGCAACAGCAATTGCGGCCGCTCAGTTCAAGTGAAAGTTTTCGTGCTTGCTTGCAGCATGCTGCTTCATAGCAGGTTTTGAACTCTGCACGGCCGATGGACCCTTAATTGCTTATTTTCTTTACGTTCACACCGTACTGTGATTTGCATTTTTTTTTAACTTTGACTTAATGAACATAACTGTTAAGTACGAGTCAGTTCAAAGCGGGTATCGTTTAAAGTTCTGAAAGCTTTATATAGAGTTGCCACCGCTGAAATAGTATTAAATAGTAATATTTTATGCTAAACATACGTAACTCTAATTTTAACTTCTCTCCCTCTTTTTTCCATTACAGATCCGAGGTGAAGCCCGAAAGCGCACGCGATAACATTTTCAATCCCTACAGCAGCTGTGGCATTGACAATTCCAATCATCAGCCATCGAACAAATTCGCCTGCAATGAAATCGCCAACAACAATGCCTCACCGAACAACAACAACAACGCACTCAATCTTTCGCGGGATCACGACGCCGCGGAGCGCAACAGGAGCAGCGATGAAGAGCTTCTCTTAAGCGGCGATGAAAATAATCTCAACTGCAACAACAACAACAACAAACTACACTCGTCCACCACACACGTCGACATTGCCAACTCTTCGTCGCACAGCAACTGCGCAGCAACCACTAGCACCACCTCCACCAGCAGCGGCGCCGCCTTCACCTCGCACACGACTGCCATCCACACTACCGCCAACGTCGCCTCTACAATCCACAGCACTACCACACACACCACACATTTTACTGCCACCGCCTCATCCTCCTGCCATGCCATCAACACCACAACTGTTGCCAATTCGTCTCTCACTTCCTCCCTATCCTCGTCCATCTCTTCCTCCTCCGTCGTCGTCTCAACCACCAGCACCACACATTCGCGTAAACGTCCAATCTGCAGCAGCAATCTTGACAATGACCTGGAAATACTCGACCGTGAATTGAGCGAAATCAATGCGCCAATGCCACTCATCGATCCGGAGATCACGCAGGGCGCCGAACAGCTAGAGAAAGCCATCTCGTCTCGCAAACGGCTACGCAGCGAGGACGAAAGCGATCGTTTGGTGCGCGAGGCGCTTTCACAATTCTACATCCCCCAACAGCGCCTGATCTCCGCCATTGAAGACTGTCCGCTCGATGTAGTGAGCGTAGGTGGTGGCATGGGCGTTGGTGTGGGTTTGGGACTAGGCATGGGGGTCAGCGTCGGCATGGGTATGGGTCCAATGTCGCCAAGTAAACGACAAAAACTAAGCAATGGCAATGGCGGCAACGAGCTGGAACTGGAGTTCGATCTAAATCAAAATCAAAAGGACTTTGAGGTGATAATGGATGCGCTGCGCTTAGGTACGCCCAGTCCAACACCCAGCGTGGGCAGCGACTCATGCGGACAGGCGGCGATGATGAGCGAATCGGCAAGTGTATTTCACAATCTGGTTGTCACATCGCTGGAAACATGAAAGTATCAGTAAAAAGCAGGCGATAGAATAGCAAGTGGTAAACGAGACAGAGCAAATTCGACAGCAAAAGCGAGTGCGAACGATAGCAGAAGATAAGAGATTAGGCATGGATGAGTGAGCGCATGTGCGAGCGAGACGGGTGTTTGTTCGCTGTGAATTATGGCGGCTTAAATGCAACTGATGCGAAAACAACAAAAGTAAAAACAAAAAATTCACTTTTTATAGCGCATTGTTAAGTTTAGCAAAATAATTGCAAACAAAACTTTAAAAATTGTAACTAATATTAAAACAAAACAAAAGAACTTTCTTAACTTTTAAAAAGATGTTAAAGTGTAAGAGGAAAAGTACATAATTTACAACACTAAAAACTTAAAATTTATAACTCATGTAAAAAAATAAAAATGGCAACAAGCCACAAATTTTGTTGCAACTAAAATAGGCAAAACAAAAACTCTTAAGCTTAAGCATTTAGCTTAAGATTTTTTCCACAAATATTATTAGTTTTTAACCAAGCAAAAACTCAAAAGAAAAACTTATACACGTAAATACATAAAATATAAAATTATACAAAGCTAATTACACACAGACATATTATGTACATACATGTGTAGTATATAAGGTAAGCAGTAAACAAAACAAAAAAAAAAAACAACTAAATCAAAGAAAATGTAGTCAAGCAGAAGACAGCAACCATACATACTTACATCATAGATATGTACATATGTACACATGTACAGTATGTAGGTTTGTATAGTAAGTTAGTCACGTAGATGTGAGGAAGAAGACAGAGATCACCCAAGAGGTGTGATTTAAAAGCTAATGAAGTGAAAAAAAAAATTGGTAGAAATGCAAAAAAAGATGTCACGCGTTTTTATGATACAAAAATAAGATATTACAAAAATCTTTGCTTTCTACAACAAATAATTTGCTATTTTTTATTGAAAGGAATGGACGTAATTTTCTCCTTCAAAATTGCAGCTAAGTAAACATTGGCAGTTTTCTTCTCTGAAAAGTAAAAAAAATAAATAAAAATTTCGCTTAGAAATTTACTTATGTAAAGCAATATTCACTAATTTTCTTTCTAAAAATGTAGAAATAACAATCAGAACAAAAAGGAAGTTTCTCTAGTCAAATCACAAAAAAAAAAATATTATTGCAAAAAGGTTTCACGTGACTTACTAAGGTGGCAATTCCAATAAAAAATTTAAGTCGAAATCACACAATAATAACTACATAGTTACAGCTGCTGAAAACGAACTAAATATTTAAAACAAAATTTTTTTTTGGAACAATATTAAAAATTATTTTTTTTTTACGTACAAATTTTTAATAGCAAAAAAACAGCAGAAACTTGCCTTCAATTCACTCTAAAATTAACTAATTTTCAAAACTTCTAAGTCTAGGCGCCTCACTCCTACTTCTCTGAACGATCTTCTGCATATTTGTCCACTAAAAACTTAATCAACCACTGATAATTTTATAATTTTCTAGCTTATAACTAAAACAATTTTTTCATACATTCTTCAACCATGTAAAAACTTACGATTCCCAATTCGAAGAATTTTTCGTGGCGGTTTTATCCCGTCTTCGAACAATAGTTGATTTTTATGAACATATTTGTAAGCGCCAAAATCAGCTTGCGCAAAAATAACTCAATTTGAGAGCCCCCAAAAATCCCTTAACCAAAAAAAAAAAATATTGTTGCTTTTTTCTAAACTTCTTGTAACATTCTTATGTCTTTTTTATTTTTGTATAAAAATGCCTTAATTTGCCAGACACCGAAAATGTCTAAAAAAAACTTGTCATAGTTTTATAAAATTTTTACTATTTATTTAAATTATCGTTTTAATTTTTCCAGCTTTTTTACTAAAAAGAATTATGTATTTCAATCTGTGAGGCGCAAAGAAAGACTTTTATTTAGTTTTTATTTTTCTAAAAAGAATTTCTTTAATCTGCGAAGTGCGAAATACGCCTCAAGTAAAAAACACCTTTGTGTAAAATTTTTCTTAATTTTTTTTTGTTGATTGTTTGAAGTTTTGTCCTTATATCCTTTTTGAAAAATTTCTGTTTGCTCAAAAAAGACATTTTTTAAATCTCCCCACTTGTTTTTCTAATTTATTCACTTGCGAAGATTTTTCCAAAAACAAAATATTTTTTTGGATCTTCCCAATTTATTATTATTTTTTTTTTATTTACCTAACTTCTTACGTTCTTCCAAAAATATTTACAAAAATTATTGACTCATTTAAATATATATTTAAAAAAAATAAATAAGTGGACTCAGGCTCAGTTATCATTTTTTAATTAAAGTCATTAAGCCGCAATAATATTGTGACAAACATTTCAAAATAATTGAACATAATTTTCAACAACAACAAACAAATTCGTCGCCAGATTTTCAAAGTCAAATCAATTTAGCGTCTCTATTTGCATACCTTTTCTTACGAAGCAACTTCGATTAAGCAAAACAAAACGACATCAAACAAATTTTCAGTTAAAAAGTGCAATTAGAAGTCATTATGATACAAAAAGTTAATGAAAAAAGCCAAGAAAAATCGCAAAGTAATATAAAAACAATAATTTCGCACAAAAAAATTTAAAAGAACAAATAACGCGAGCCTACAAAATTTAGAAATAAAAAGTTTAACTTTAAAAAGTAAAAAAAAAAAAGCAAATACATTTGTAAAAGCCAAAATTGAAAGTTGTTAATTATGGAAAGGGCTAGCAAGAGCAGTAATTTTGTTGTAATTTTTGTAAGAAAACAAACCAGAGTTGTAAAAAATCGTGAGTTGACGAAAAAACGGGTTCAAGCGGAATTTGTTTATTTCAAAAAATGGCTGTGATAGTAATAATAAGTATAATAAAAACCCAAGAAATTACAAGCATGAGCTGAAAAAAATAAGTCAAGCAAAGCAAAAAAATTTACGAAACTGTTAAAAAACAATTGTAAACTGCAGCGAAAAAAAAAAACAATATAAAAAGTGGAAAACAACAAAAAATTAAAAAAAAAATAAGTTAAACAAATATTTAAGTTATATTTATTATTAAAATACTGAAACAAATGAAAAAGCAAACTCAAAAAACAAATTACTTAATTTTTTAAGGCATACGAAGAAAAATAAACAAGTATTATAAGCAAAAGTAAAAAACAAAGAAATAAAAATAATAATAATTTTGAAAAGAAAATGTGAATGCTTATGCAAATAAAATATATTTTTCTATTCAGTTTGCTTGGTGCGCATTTACAAACAGAAAACAAAAAAAACAAAGGTTTCAGCTCTTAGTTTCCATCAAAGAAAATAAATAAATTTTTATTTTTTTTTTCAAAAAAGACATGCCAAATCATGTGAAAATGCACAAAATTAAAAAGGATATTTTAATTTACAAACAAATTCGAAACTAATTTTTTTTTGTTTAAATGTTTTTTGAAAAAGTATCTGTTTTGAATTAAAAAAAAATACTTCCCCTATGTTATTGTTTTTTTTTATTATTTAAAAAATTCACTTAAGAGCTGAAATTTTATAGAGTTCAAATCTTTTTGTTTTCCAAATATTCGTTTTAACTGTTACTTTTGCTCTCTATTTTGGCTTCCATAAATGTGAAAAAACACACACACACAGCTAAGCGCTTTAGTTGCAACTTTATAAGTTTTTGTTTTTTTTTTTTTGTAAAATTTGCCAGTTTGTGAAAAAATGTATTTCAATGCTTTTTTTCTTTAATGTTAGTTTGCATATTTTATTAAATTTAACTCAAAAAAACAAAAATTATAAATAAAAAACTAAAGTTGTTCACTATTATTTTCCTGTTTCTATTACAATTAAGTTCAACTGCAATGCAAGATTAATGCATAAAAAAAAACTAAACAAAAAAAATTAACTACACAAACTACATTAGTAAAAAAAGTTTCTTAGCTGTTACTATCTAGTTATAGTTTTAATTTCTTTTTTATTAAACATACATACAAACATATACTTATACATACGTACGTACATATGTAAATGATATTGATTATAATTATAGTTATTGCATAAAATTAACTTGTAATTAATTATATATAATGTAGAACAAATAAAAACTTTCATCATAAATTAAAAAAAAAAATCATAAACAAATTTACAAAAAAAGCATACCAATATAAAATTACGAAAAAACAAAACAAAAAATTAAATAAAAGTATTGAAATATTTGCAAAAAAATTGATATTTTCATTTATTTCTACATACATATCCACTATTTTGGCTGCGCGATTCTTCAATGAACTTCTTTTCTGCTTTTCGTTTTCGATCTTGGCTTGTTTGCTGTGACTACGCATTCGACTTTTTCGTTTTCCCTGTTGAGATTTCTGAATATTTCGTTTGCTTTCTTCGCTAATTTGATTGGCTTTAGCCTCCACTGCTTTTTATGTAGTTCATGTGTGGCTTTGATTGTGAGTTTCGTATTCGAGATGTATTTTAGATTTGCAATTTAGTGAAATAAAAGCAAAGAGGCTTTGTTTGATCGTGGCGAAGGCCGGCTATGATACAAAAATAAAAGGCGTCCCCGTGCGTAACAAGTGTTAAGCTGAGTTTCCCCACAATGTGTGCTAGACGGTTGCATATTTTTTGCTGGACCCAGATCAAGGATTTCAGTTCCAAAGGGCAAGCGCACAAGAGTCCCCCTGTCCAGAAAGGCATGAAAGCAAAGTATCGATATCTTTTATTTCTACTGTAACCACGGTTCAAAAAAGTTTGGTCAAGTTTTATCCCGAAAACGGACGGATTTCATCTTATAGATCTTTTATGCTGATTTCAAGTCCATTACGACTTTTTCAATATTTTCAAAAGCTTATATTTCGAAAACTATTGCAAAATGTGGACATGGTTGGAAAGATAATTGATAGACCTTTTATTTGATATGCATATCTTTATATACCTTATATACTTATTTCGAGAAAAACTAAAAAAACGAAATTATACAAATTTTTTAATAAAAATGTACGTTTTTATAAAAAAAAACATAATTAACTATATTAAGTGATGTGTTTATTAGAAAGAGCAGAGAAATACCTTTAAATTGATATATAATTTTATATAGTTAGGTTTAAGCACATGTTGACTGAGTTGTTTTTTTTTCATATAAATAGGCAAAACATAAAGAATTTTATACTAGATTTACATATAAGTAGATTATACTCATTTTCGAGCTTAACTCACTAATCTGTAATTAGAAAAAGAGATTAGCCATACAAAATTCCGCCCTTGTTATTCTGTAATTATAAAATAATAGGTTTGTTCCACACGAGCCAGCGGATACCCGCGGGTGCCCAAAACAGCCCAGAAAGCGTTCCTCACGGTAGAAAAATGGGTAATAGAGAGCGAATACGTTCCACTTTTCGATCGTAAATGTCTTCTTCTTTGCGCACGAAACAGCCCGAACTTTTTTTCCGGGCACAAATCTGCAAGAGGGCATTTTGAAATAACAGCTGTTGTTGTTCAAATCCGAAAGCAAATTTTATAAAAACAAAAGTGGAAAATATCACAGAATTTTCAGAAAATGTAGTTATTTGGTAATTTTATTAGCCATATAAGACAAATATGTACACGTAAAATCATTGTTTAGAGCTGATATGTTGATTCCGGGCACGAAATGTGGTTTTTTGCGTTCCTCACGCTCTGGGCACTTTTGGCACGTGTTGGCACATTTTTGACACATTTGAGAGAGTACTCATTCTCAGATTTAACCGATAACTTTTCGGTGTCCAACCTAGTTTTATCGATTAATTTTGCGAAGTAGAGGAGAAATGCCAAATGTTAAAGTAAATAAAAATGGATGCTAGCAAGGAAAAGAGGTTTGTAAAGGTATTTCTAACAAAATACTAAGATAAAATATTTTTAAAGT